CTGGTGCAATGAGAATTTATCTGGTAAGAGAATATGAAGCAGGAGTACTTGATAGCAGTTCTCGACAGCAGAGTTCATGGATCTCTGAGCCTTTCCCACCAATAGGCGGAGCAGCCTGGGAACCTGATGAGACAAGAAAAATGTCCAACTGGGATTCCCCTCTCTGCTTCCCTTCTACAGGAAGATCTGTTCCCCTGATGATTTTCCCCGGCTCCCCAAAGAAGCAGAGCCTTCTGCCTCCTGTTTTCCTTTCCCTCTGGTGGGAAAGGAAGATTCTGCCTTTGGCTTCCTTTCTGCAAGCCAGAATCCAGGGGAAACAACCAATTTTTTCTATCCTGTAAGAAAGTGTCTCTCTCCCTTGCTATCTTGTGGGAAAATCTAGTGGACAGGGGATGTGAATAAGGGCAAATACCTGCAAACTATCTTGTGCAGGAGCCCCACTAGAATCGAGATCAAGGATCTGTCCATGCAGAATGCGTACAGGATTTGGAGTCAATTGTCTACATAGAGGAAATGGTGAAACTAACTATCTACAAAATGCGCTCAAATGCAGAAAGTAAAGATTGAAAATAGCAGATGACAGTGTCCCCTCCCCATCTCATCCAGTTACAGTAATTGTAGGTGGTCTGTGACAATAGAAGGTAAGATTTTCACACAGGATTTTGACTTTTTTCCTCTCCTCTAAAGGGACACCACCAGTTTAAATGGATTACTTTTATATAATATATTAAAATCCCTGGTCTACAAGCAGCCTGCCCAATTGTCTGTATTTTTTAACTTTGACGTGTCTTTTGGCAGGTGAGCATCTCAGGCTCGTTTGTTAAAGACCCTGAGAGGATGCAGGTGCAGTGTCCCTTCCTAACCCGGGATGCTGCCACCTGCAGGACTTCCACAGAGAGACAACGTGAGCTGCTGGCTGGGTAAGCCACAGATAAGGAGTCTTCAAATAAGTTGTATGATTTCCATACTGGCCTGTATACTCCTCCCCTGTGAGATTAGGTGAAAGCATCAGATGGGTCAGGACTTCCCCCACTGCTGTGGGATGGGGCTGGGGAGAAGAAGAGGAAACTTACAGTAAGCTTTTGAACAAAAAATCTTGTGTGGTAGATGGAGTATAGATGCTATTGCAGGAGACCCTCTACCTCTTTCCCCAAAAGAAAAGGCTTTCTTAGGATAGGGCAGCCCCCAAAAGCTATTGTTGGGCAGGCTTTTCCAAAAACAAGCTATTGTGGGGAATCCCCTTGCAGAACAAAGCGCTGTTGCAGTAAAATGCTGTTTCATAGTGACCTAGTGTAACATAATCGCAATCTAATGCCTCTTCTCACCTGCCCATCTGCAACACAAAGGCCTTGTCTACACTAGGATATTTGAGGAAAAATTCCTACCAGCGCTACCAACTATTCAGCTGCAGTGGCCCCACGGCAGCCCTAATGTAGACAAAGCTTCATTGGTTTCTAGCATTTTTACCACGGTGTCACCTTGTAATTGAAATGCTGCATAGAACTGTGGGCAGCCAGCAAACCTCTCTCTATACTAGGGCTCCCAGCGTTAATAACACCGGTTGAGCTGAACCAGTATTAGCAATGGTGGGAAAGCTTTGAGAAATTGCCATAGGATAGATAGGGCCTCGGAAACGTCTTGTAGATAAAAGCAGTGTCTGCGGATAATGGAGGAAAGCAAGCAAGTTCTGTGTCAAGAAGTGAACTTGAAACCTTGACAGGTTTCAGAGTAACAGCCATGTTAGTCTGTATTCGCAAAAAGAAAAGGAGTACTTGTGGCACCTTAGAGACTAACCAATTTATTATATTATTTTATATATTTTATATTTATTATAAATTGGTTAGTCTCTAAGGTGCCACAAGTACTCCTTTTCTTTTTTCTTGAAACCTTGGTTACTTCAGAATGCCAACCCATTCTCCTAGCCTGTGAGGACCTCTAGTGGGCAATGTGAATTTGCTGCTGGTTTTCTCTTTCTGTCCTTAATATGTATTATGGAATTTTGGTTACAGAAGGAAACTAAAGGATAGATAGGAAAAGCAGAGGGTTTTCTTTTTAAAAAGAATAATACTAACATTCATTACTATGTAAAGTGCAGTTGGTTTGAAAAGTTACTGTGTAAAGATGTGTCAGAGGGGTAGCTGTGTTAGTCTGGATCTGTAAAAGCGGCAAAGAGTCCTGTGGCACCTTATAGACTAACAGACGTATTGGAGCATAAGCTTTCGTGGGTGAATACCCACTTCTTTGGATGCAACATGTGTAAAGATGGGGTTGTGCGGTCCCTTATTGTCTCTGCATATTATTCTGCATTAAATATTTCATGATGTGTTAATCTCTAGCTGCCGTGCCTGTAAATTCAATTTGGGAGGTGGCAGTCAGACTGGGTGCTATCCTTCTTATTCATTGTCACCTGCAATCAAACTTCTGCTGGTTAGATTACACCTGTGTGCAACTAAGTCTTCCAGTTATGCCCTCAAAGACATCTGTTTAACTGCCTTCAGTGGCTTTGCAGTGGTTGTATCATAGTAGCCATTTCTTTTGAGAATGTACAAGAAGGAATTGGAATAAAACTGTCTCTCTTTTGGCCCTACAATACTAAAAGGAATCAATATCAGTAAAAAATTAAATTTGGGTACCACCCACATCTTGCCTTAATCTTTTCCACCTTGTAAGTTGCTATATGTAGAACTGGGGAAAATTTTCCAGCCAAAGCTCTTTAGCAAAAAAAATGCAATTTGGTGATATCAAAATGTTCCACAAATGTTCCAAACTGTTTTGGCGGGGGGAAGAAATTAAAAATAAAAAAGGGGGGGGGGAAATCAATACATTTTATTTCAAAAATGTTGAAATGAACTGTTTTGGTTTTTCAGTTCAAAACAACTTTGTTTCAAAATTAATTTTATTTTAAAAATGTTTTTAAAATGGTCATAATCAAAAGGAAACATTTTTGATTTGGTCAAAACAAAATATTTCATTCAAACCAAAACAATTTTTTTGCTCTTTGAATCACCATAAATTTCAAAAAAATTTGTTTGCAGTTCAACCCAAAACCAGAATTGCCAGGAAACCAAAAACTTGTACAGTTCTACTTATCTGGCCTCCACTAGCATTGTATCTGAGCACCAGGCAATCTTAATATATCTATCCTCACCCCGCTGCTGGCGGGGAAGTGTCATCCCCATTTTATAGATAGGGAATGAGGCACAGAGAAATCAAGTGACTTGCCCAAAGCAGAGAATTAAACTCAGTCTCCCACGTCTCAGTTCAGTGGCCTGACCACTGGACTGGTCTTCCTCTTGCAACTGCTGTGGTAGGAATGTCTTCTGATATAGGGAGTGCCCATATTTCCTCCAATTTATTTTCTTTCTCCAAAGATCATCTTCTCACAAACAGTGATGCAAGATTTGAATTAAATTTACCAACATTTCCTGGTTGCAAACCCACAAGAAAGCTTTCACTTTACTAAATACTGCTGCACTTGAGATGGTGTAACATCAGGTTGTTTTCCCCTGCAATCATTGTACAATCTGTTTTCTCTTTGATGTTCTTTCTCTTTGTATCATGTGGTTTCTATTCTTTCCCTATTTTGGTTCCTCCTCTCTGTCCTTTTCAGCCTTACCAACCGACGTAGATATTGTGCCACCTGTAAAACTAATGAGTAGAAAAGGAAGACATTGATTACATTCCCTTCTCTTCCATCAGTCTGGTCCTGAAGCTAAGGATTATTGTGAATGTCTATGTTAATCAGTAAAGAGGATTCCTCTCAGACTCTCTGCACGAGTCAATTTCATTCTGAATGCTTTGATTCCATCCTCTTTTGGTGTCACTCTGCATCTAGATTGTCCTTACGGCTCATTATGATTTGCTTAGGGAAAATATAAACTTGGATTTACTGTTTGAAGTGCAGCACAACTGAGAGGTAACTCTGTGAAGATGGAAGTTTGTAGGGGGGAGTCCATGCTTGTCTCTAATTTCCATATCAAGTGTGCTCTGTTTTCAATTAGAAAGATATTGTTTATTTCTGCCAGCCATGCAAACACGACCACAGGTCTGAGAGTCAACCTGGATTCTTTCCTTCTCCCATATCATCAGCCCCAATAAAGGTTCTGTAGTTCAAATTCTACCCTCAGACATACTTGGGTAATTCTGTTTTTTTGTTATTTTTTCATATTCTGTTTCCAGTGACACCTCTGCAACATCCATTGCCTTCTGAGGGTTTGCACAGGTGCAACTGATTACAAAATTGTTTACCAAATTCCAGACAATGCACAAAAAGGATTAGAACCCAGCTCGCTCTCTCCTAGCTGTGTATGGGTCTGCAGCACTAATGGGAGTAAAAGAAAGTAGTCAACTTGCATTAGACACTAAGATAACCAGATATTACTCTGTATACACAGACAAAAGGTCTTTTGCATGAGACGGTACCACTTTTACACAATCACTTCTCAGAATAGAATTGCTCTTAAATGTTTTTCTCTCTCATTCAGAAATCTGGATGTTAATAGGTTCTTGAGTCAGAGAGGATTGTATTTTTGGGGCGAGGGAAGTAATATCTTGTTATCCAGAGCAGGCTGACATTTTTCATACAAAATGATTTTCTTCAATCAATGGATTTTTTTTTTCAAAAACGCCAAAGCTTTTTGTGAAACTTTATTTTTTCAAAATTTTCCTTTTCCTGGTGACTTATTTTTACCAAAAACATTATAAAAATAGCTACTGAAAATTTTAATTTACCAAAGCACTGTATGTCAGTAAAATGACAAATTTCAATCACCATTTTTATAAGTATTTCAATAAATTTGACTTTAAAATCTCACGAATTTAAAAAAAAAAGATTCATTTCAAGCTCTCATATTCATAGCTAATAATAAAACTGTTATAAACACTGAGAGCCTTGGATGAAAAGTGCTGTTAATAATAATCCATTTTGCGGTAGGTGTGTCAGGTTGTAGTAGGACTACACTTCCCAAGATGCACTACTGACAGCTTCTCCTGTGAGCTGCCCCAGCTTAGCTGAAGCACTGTTCTCCAGGGACTGACTGTCAGTACTGAGTGAGAAGAGGATAACATGGGACAGAGACACTGGGTCAGGACCACCAAATGCCAGCTGATAGTGACCAGCCTCTTTGTCATGGTAACAACCAGAAGTGGAAACCTGGGATAAGTAAACTGACCACCTTAAAATTTTTTCTTAAAAAGGAACTGTAAAAGTTGTTTCTCTCATTTCAGTTTTAGGACAGAGAAAGTCTAGGGTGATAGAAGCAGACTGTATGAATTACTGCATCCTGAACTGTTATCGCTACTCCCCAGCATTGCTTTCTGTCACCGATAAGCTTTTGGTTTCTCAAGTGTCACTGTAATGCAACTCTTTCACAATTCTGAGCTAGCCTTTAAGTAAGAAATTTGTTGCTGCCATCAGACATGGTAGTTTTAAGATGAGGACAGGGATATCTTCTCATGCTTCTCTTTTTTAAAAAAAAATTTATTGCACTTGGATGAACAATTTCTTGAGGTGCGTGTGGTTTTAAATGTGTTGGATAAGCTAGAGCATCTTTGTAGTCTGACAGAAGCCTGTCTACTGGTACAGATATTGGATAGAATGTAACTTTTGAAATCTTCTGACTCTGTACTACAAACTCTATAGTTCTGGTTGAGCGGCTGTGGAGAAGCAAACGTGAGGAAATTTGGTGAACTCTTCCACGGAGTTCTGGGAAAACTGCACTACAATTTGCTCCCCTTGAAAAAAAAGAGAGAGAGAGAGGAAAACAAGTGAATATTTAAGTGAATATAGCTCTATAGTTGGTTAAAAAGACTGGAGGGGGGGAAACGTGGGGAAAATTTCATTGAAAAAAATGTAAATTCAAAACTTAGTTGACTAGCTCTAATTGCAGTACATTGTTCTCCCTTCAGAGAAGGGCTGCCATTGTGCTTATGAAGTATACGACTTATTCAAGGTAGAATTGCACTCAAACCTGTTGAAGGGGGAGGTGCTTAGCTCAAGTTTAGTTTATTTGTATCCTTTACAAATGGATACAGACAATAACATGCATCAATAGTGAGGCCATGAGGATTTGTTTAGATTGGTATTTCTGCTGGAAATCTGAGCTGAATGAAGCCGGACCAAACCTTTTACTGTGTATGTATAAGTGTTTTAAGGTCTGTGGTACTGAAATTGGGCGAAACTGCTACTGTATACGTGGCACTCCCTCATGGCACCAGAGCTGTGAGACACCTCACTGCTACCTGCCCTTAGTGTGAATCAGTCTGTGCCTGACGTAGCTCACCTCCCTGAAATCACCAGCTTCTATCAACCCAAGCACTGCCTTGCAGGCCTTGCTGTCTCTGTGCAGGTTAGTAATAAGTACACTTCAACCCCTGAGTCCTTGGAGTACTCGCGCAGCGTCCAGCCCTTAACTAGTGAACACTCACAGAAATATCAGGTTTGCTAGTCAAGGGGACAGTGTACACACTAGCTTGTTCGATTCAGCTGAGGATCAACTCTTCTGTAACATCACAGCACTGAGATAGATTTCTAGTGAAAATAGTCATGAGTTTATTATCAAAGATTAAGATTTAAAAGATAACGAGTAAGGGTAATAATGGAAACAGAAATGGTTACATATTAAACAAAAAGTGTAACACACTTCTTAGAGTCTAAACTTAACAGACTAAACCCTTGTCTAAAGTAGTTTATCTCACCTAAAGTAATCTCCCAGCATCTCCAAGCAATGTGGCTGGGATCTCTCTTTCATGAATACAAAGTGTACTGCCTTTTGCCTTCTTCTTATAGTCCCCCAAAATCCATTGTTTCCTCCCCAGATTCAGTTTAGTTTCTGGTGTCTTTTTGCAGTGTTTTAGTACCATGTTGGTCCCAGGATATTAGACAAGGTGGTCTCTTATGGAACCAGCTACTGTTGTTTGTGTCTCCAAAACCTGTTTATCAGCTCTACCTTGGACACAGATTTTAAAACATATTTTCAGTATTTATACACCACTCTGTGTCATCTCTACATACATCTCACAACGATTGAGGATCAGTATGACATAAGCTTTTATTAGAGACCTTGCATGATCTAGTATTCTTTACGGAAAAATACTAGAAAGCGGTGTGCTAAGTGTAATGAGTGTGTCAGGACTGCTAAGTTGTTGTTCTAGAAGAGTGAACCCTTTACCAGTTGGCATTGAGGGGTTCTTAGGCTCACAGTATATTTAATCTACCAAACTATGCTTCTTAGGAAAAATCTGTTGGTCATCATCTGAAAAGGTAATAAGGTTACACTTAGAAGAATAGTTAACTGCAATGTTTAACACATACATGGTTACTTCTGATTCTCCACTATAGAGTTTGAATTTCCAGGATGTCCTTTTATGAGTGGAGGATTCTTCTCCTTGTGAATATGGAAAATATTGCAGATTCTAAAGGTTTTGTATGCATGTAATGCAGTTGTTGATGCCTCCCTAAACAAAGTTCATTGAACCTGGAGAGGAGGCATTCTGAGGGAAGCCTGAATCTAGAGGACCCCACCTCAGGAGATCAGGATGAACTCATGTCTTGCCTCTTTCAGATTTGCTACACTAGGGTTTTGTTTTATTTTAAATGTCCCCACTGTTGATATGCCTATTTCAGCTCTACTCTTGGTAGCAATGGTGGGAGCACTAGCATAGCTCAGACAGCCACCCAGGGCCGGCCCACAACATTTTGGCACCTAAGGCGGGGAGCTCAAATGACGCCCCCGTGCCCCCTCGCTTGGGCCAAAACTTTGAAAGGTCTCAATTCTGCCTTCTTCCTGCAGAGAAAAATACATAGATGCTTTGAATTACATTAAAGAATTCAGCAGCCTCACTGGAAGCTGATGCTCCATCACTGACCTGACCACCAAGTTCAGTGAATGAGAACTGCATGGGACAAAAAAAGCTCGAGGGTTTAACTCTCAGATCCGTGTCTGCACTCCTCCATTCTTTTCTCTTATGTCGGCACCATTATTGTAGCCCTGACCTCTCATGTCAGCTATCGCAATTTCTGTATCTTCCAGCTTTTTAATAAGCACATTTGTCATACCAGCTCCTGTAGTATCATCAATGTCAATAAATTCTAGAAAATGCTCTCTGACAGTCATCGTTGCAGGGACATTTTCACTAGGTTCTGTCATTGTTACAAAATGCACCATTAAAGTCATTTGTTCCGTATGGCTGATGTCAGGTGTGCAGTCCAGAATAACAGAGTAATATCTTGCTGACTTCAGACCTGCCACAATCTTCTGTTTGACTTTGGTTGCCAGTAACTGTATGATCTCATATTGAATTGTTTTTCCAAGGTAGTGGTGTGTGTACATTTCTTGGGGGGTGACTCTTCTTAGTTGCTCCTGGAGTACAGCATCAAATTCAGCCACCAGCTCCACAATTTTAAGTAAGTTTCCATTGTCTGGCACATACAGCTGATCTGAAGTGCCACGCAGTGCTAGGTTTTGAGTAGCAACCATTCTCACAATGGCAATGAGCCTTTTCAGAGCATTTTGCCAGTAAAGAGACTCCGATACAATCTTCTCTTGTTGCTGATCATCTATGGTGGCCTTTAACCTTAGTCTCATCTCAAGCTCTTTCCACCTATGGAATGCTCTCTGGTGACATGCTGTCTTCTCATGGCATGCCAGATTTCTAGCCAGATTTTTCCAGTCCTTTGTTCCTGTAGAACCCAATGTGGCTGGAACATTAGACTGGAAGAGTTTGCAACAAAAACAGTATGCAGCATTCTGGGTTTTTGAGTACATAAGCCATGGCCTCTCTACTTTGTCACCATTGGGGATTTCACACCAGTAATATGTTGGATGGAAACTTCTATTTTCATTGTCTTTGGGGAACATGAAGTTTTTCACTTGCTGTGGCCCATGCACTACAAGGAAGTCCCTCAGGCTCAAGTGGGTCCACAGTCCTGGATCATCTAGACTTAAGGAACTAAACTCAGCAGCAGCTGTTTCTTGCGCCTCCACCACACTCTTCTCTGATCTATACTTTCCTTCAGGAATGTGCATGGTTACGTCCATTTAAGATGGAGATATGGATGCCGCAGTAGCTGCCAGGTCACCTGCATCTGACTAACTGGAAGATCAGGCATCTCCTCACCACTCACATCCTCACTGGGGCCGGAAGGCTCACCGTGGACATTTGTGTCTATGTATCTCAGGAGAGCTCCTTCCAGCTCAGATAGAAAAGCTTCCGTTGCGTTCTTTCTTTTTCTGAATGCTGCCTCAGAGGGGCGTTTTCTTCTTTCACTCATGACTGCTGCTCTGTGCCAGCTATAGTGGCTCTCAACACTCAATTGAAGGGGACAAATAAGCAGGCTGGTAGCAGGGCCTGAGTGAGGGAAAATATTAGCGTCTTAAGGGCCTAACTGGCTCCTATTACTTCAGCTGACTGCCTGTTCTCCTCAAGTGGGTTCAGGGAAGCAGCAGGAAACAGGAAGCTCCCTGAGAAGCTGGTGTTAATCAGTCCAGGATCCTGGGGGTGCCAGAGAGGTACATAAGAGGCTCCTCCTCTTCTCTCTCCCTGCAGCTCCTGCTGCTTTCTGTTATTCCCTCTCACCTTTTTTCTTGCCTGCTTGATATGTCTCTTGTGCCCTCCTTCCTCCAGCACAGCACTCCACCATCTCTGTGCATCTAGAGCAGAGAGAATACATATGCACCAGCAGCAGACACCATTTTCTACACTCTGGGTCCAAGTGCCCCCCCCCCGCCCCCCGTAGTCTGGCACCTGAGGCGGCCGTCTCAGTTCACCTCATGGTAAGGCCAGTCCTGCAGCCACCATCTAACAGGCTCTGAGCAGGTTAGACAACACAGTGGTTAAAACGTTGGTGGTCACTCAGTGTGTCATCTACAGTAGCCCTATCATTGATGGAGCTGAAATGACAGCAACACTGGGAAATTTTAGAGGAAAAAGGCTAGTGCAGACAAAGCCTTAAAGCACAGTGCAAGACTCATCTATTTACACTGCCTTTTCCTTAGCAGAGATAACAGTACACCTAAGCTACCCTCCACTCCGCAGAAAACACTACAAATTGTTCAAGAGCAAGAGCAGAGAACGCAATCTGACCCAGGACCATTCTTGAAGTTAATAACATCCCTCTCACGCACACACGTCAGAATTTGCACCAATTCCTGTAGTATTTAGATATCAATGTAAATACATTGAAAGGGACGTCTGTGAAAATATGATTCCTCTGGTTTTTCCCAATGATTACAATTTCCTCTGATAGCAGAGTCCAAGGGATTGAGTGAGTGGTTTTATATGCAGTAATTATACAGCATTGTCCAAAGAGTTTATTAATCTGCCCAGGGGTTCCCTTCACATGTGACTTTTAGGTATATACTGTAAACTAACTCTCTCAGGGAACAGGTTGTTTTCCTTCGAGCATGGATTGAAGTATCTGAGTGTACCTGATAGCATTTCATAAGTTCTGCAGTAGTTTTTTTTGTGAATCCTGCACTTGCTACTTTCCTTCCTCAGTAAAATCTCTGTTTTTCAGCTGCTGGGGCTGGCAGTCACCATACTGACCATTATCACCCACTATGGGGCTCACTTCAGTGTAATCAGTGGGGTCTCCTCTGAGGCTAACCCCTATAGAATCTTCCACAATGTCGGTAAGTGCCGCATTTTTTAGACCAACTGAGATGTCCTGTGAGGGCCAGCATCTTTGGAGCTATGTAAAATTAGGATGCAGTGAAAGGAAATTCAGAGACTTCACATGAAGTGGGATCCCAGTTAGGTGTGTAGTGTGGCCACTACAGAGGCAAGGTACCTCTTTTCTGTATGAGAAACACTTGCTTGGCCTTTTGGTGGGGGAACACTGTTCATTGTGCCTCAGCACTGCTGAGTCCACTGTTGTCCCCCATGCTTCACCTATTACAGACAAAGCAGAGAGGGTTATAAATATTCTATAAGTAGGCCCAAAGGTATGGGAGGAGCTTAAGAAGAACTCACAGTGGAAGTGAGAGGCTGGATAGGACCACAGAAAGGAGCACATTATAAGACACAAGCCATGGGGCCCTTTAAAAGTGTGGACATTTATATTTGTGTGGGATAGAAGGGGGACATAGGTGAACAGAAAGTAAGACGTGAGCTCTGGGATGAAGAGCTTTCAGCATCAGTGCAGCTCCTGAACTCTCCCATTGGGTGTCAGCTAGACTCTGCTCTGGCCAGGAAGTAGGAGGCGACTGTTGCACAAGATTAGCAATGCGTAAGCTCCTGATAATGGGTACTGGAACACATGCTCCTGTTCAGCACTCTGTGATTCAGTAGGATCTTTATCTGAGCACAGAGATAATTGTAAAGGGGACTTGTGATCTTCTGGCAAAAATAACAAAGTGGCCTGGCATGTTTCCAGGGCACATGGTTCTGCTGGAACTATGGGAGCAAAGGGCGGGGATGACGACATTGCGCAAAGGTTTATAAACTTGGTGTGGTGGGGCAAGTTAGTCATATAAAGATGAACACTGGATAAGGTGAAAGTCTCTTGCATTCTCCTGCAACCCAATCCCTTTGTATCTTGTCCATTTTTAGACACTGATCTAGCAATGCACTTAAGTATCTGCTTAGCTTCACATACAAAAATAGTCACATTGAAGTCAATGGAACGACTCGTGCATAAAATTAAGCATATAGGCAAGAGTTTGTGGGAGCAGGGCCTTAGATTGTAAGGTCTTTGGGGCAGAGACTACCCCTTATTTTGTCTGTACTGTACCCTGCAGAGTGAGGGTCTTCCATGATCTATATTACAGCCACATCCAATATGAGCATGCAGACTCCTTTATACTGCAGTAGTTTAACTCCGATTAGTCTTCTCTGCACACACAGGGCTTATCGATACGAATACTTAGTTCATGGCAAACTGGGGTATAAATCTATTCCATACTAATCTGCTGCGCACTAAGTGTCCATGTGGACCCTGTTGCTGTGCACTAAAAATTTTGCTAGTGCACTATGATCTATCCCATTTCAAAGTGGTGTAGATCAAAGCTTTTAAGTGCACAGTATAAGAATGGCCATATTGAGTCAGAACACAGATCCATCTAGCCCAGTATCCTGTCTTCTGACAGTGGCCAATGCCAGACTAGTGCTGGGTAGATTTACACCCCAGATTGCCACAAACTAAGTGTTCATACAGACAAGCCCAGAGAGAGGGCATTTTTCTGTTTTTTCTTGTCATTTTAGTATTAGAAACTTTTAATAAAAAGATTAACTCAATTTACCAAGATTACTTCCATTACCCAAGATGGTCAGGGATGCAACCCAATGCTCTGGGTGTCCCTAGCCTCTGACTTCCAGAAGCTGGGAGTGGACAACAGGGGATGGATCACTCAGTTGCCTGTTCTGTTCATTCCCTCTGAAGCACCTGGGATTGGCCACTGCTGGAAGACAGGATACTGGACTAGATGGACCATTGGTCTGACCCAGTATGGCCGTTCTTGTGTACACCCTTTAACACAGTCCTTTCTTTTCAGGTTCAGCAGAGTAGAATGTCTTCAGTTTCTATATCTTAAATCTCTGTCCTGACACAAAATTATGTCACCCTCCTTAAGATTTCAGCAGATTTGGGCAGGATGGGGAAGGTTATTGTGCTTTTGCTGTGAGAGGGGACTGGCACTACCTGCCAAGATTTTGAGCTCTGTGGTGTTCTCAGACTTGCCAACCTCACAGCTTGAGAAGCAAAAATTCAGAAGTTCCTCATGAAAGGCAAGCTCTTCTGAGAGCTTTAGTTTATAAAGCTTGCTTGTCAAAGGGAGCCCAACCCTGCTTAAGGTGAAAGAAAGGCAGCTAGGGCTTCATGTCTTGCTAAAACTCCGATGTGCGTCTTTCCTCCAGCATTCTACAGCGGGATATGTCTGACCATGATTCTGGTCCTTGCAGCCCTGCTGAGTACTGTTGCCACAGTGAGAGAATCGGTGTGCCTCATGGCAATGGTAAGTGTTTGGTTAGACAGGCATGGGTGGGCAGGGAACAGCGTTTCCAAATTCAGTGATAACACCAAGATGTGGAGATACAGGGAACAGCCTTTGTCTGGATCCAGCTTGCTCCCCACACTTGGTTTATCGACTTAAATGTGGTGTTTGTAGTGTTGCCTTAGTTGTTTTGCTTTGTGCTTCACATGGGGGAGAAGACAGCCAACACTGAATGCACATCATGCCACAGTGGGGTAGAGGTTGCCTGCTGCTTTTCAAGGCATGGCTGTGCCTAACCTCTCAAAGTGACTCCAGGTGATGATTTATCTATATGTGCCCTGATTTTTCGAGGTGCTATGTATATATGCCTCTGATTGGGGTCAAGGGGAGGTGCTTATCTGTCAAGATGATGCCAGTTATTGTTGGTTTGCTTTTGTAATGCCAACATTCTTCTTTGTGATGTTCTTAATGACGTATTTCTTTGTTTTTTTCTGATATTTGGGTCAGATTTTGAAATCCCGTGTTCTGCCCCACGATAGCAACCTTAACTCCAATTTAATGAAGTGTTTTGTAAATATATATATTCACAATGATTGTGAGCTTAGAACATTTGGTGGCACCAGCTCAGTTTTGACTGCATTACCAATTTTGGCATGCTGTCGAGGCTAGCTTTCTACCTAGCTCATACTTTTAAGGAAAACTAATTGGAGTTCATCAGCTGGTATATGCATGAAATGGGTATTTTCTCCTCAAAATGTGTCAACTACATAGCCATATCGTTTGGGGCATTCCTGCCAACCTCCTCGAGCAAAACAACCCCCATCAGGCGACACATTTGAACCATCTGTTTTGCTTCGTTTGGGATCCCAGTACATCCACTGTCTGCCTTTCATCTTTCAGGCATTAAGCTCTTCAAGGCATTCATCTTGTGTCTTGTAAAGCACCAAGCATATTAACAAATAACACTTCTGCACAAGGAGAAGGGAGGGAGACGAGAAGGCAGCTTTTGCCCTGGTGATGGAGGCTGTGTGTGTTTCAGCAGCAGATTCTTAGACCCTCCCTTGTTGTTTGTTTTAAGCCTCACGCATGGAGTTGCCTTGGCATCAGACAGTCCTGCAGTGCTGGAGGCGAGAGCGGGTTGTGTGCATCTAGGACAGGGAAGAGGAAAGCAATGGAGTAAGTGCCTCGTAGAGTACAGGGACAGGGGGATGTGCTTTTTCTCCTGTTGTAGTAAAGTAATATAGTCGGTGAACTCAAGGGAAGCCTGAATGTGAACTGCAAAGGCTGGGAGGCACCAGTAAATTGGAGTAATCGTGTGTGTGTGTGTGTGTGTGTGTGTGTGTGTAGTAATCGCGTGCGTGTGTCTGCTGCTATAAGCCCTGCAGTGTGGGTGGAGTCCTTTGCACTACCCGTTCTCTCCTTGGAAGACAGAACAGCCCAGGGTCAGGGTGCCTCTTTTTACCTAGATCCACTGTGAGTGTGTCTGAAGTGGGGGCGGGGGGGGGGAGAGGTAAGGTCTAAGCTTCTTGTTGACCCAAACAAGAAACTAGAAATGCGTCTTCTAAGGAAGAAAAACTCCGGCAGTCCTACAGGTTTCCTTTGAACTGAACAAACTATGTACTAATCCTCTCTTCCCTGCTGCACCACTAGAGGGTGTCAAGTTCTCAAAATAAGAGAGAAGCTGCCTGCAATCTTGTTATGAGCTGCAGTGTTTTCATACACATTCTCACCACCATTTTGTCTGTCTTTCTCTCTAGTTGTCCCCCATAGTTCTAGTAGGAAGAACATTATCAGACAGGTCAGGTCAGATTGTTCTGCCATCCTTCTTGCCAGCCTCTTACGCAGCTACCGCTCTGCAAACCAGTTTACTGCTGTTCATTCTGTGGTGAATTTAAACTTGTCCTGTGTTTTAATTGTCAAAGTCTGAGTCCAGAGCCAGCTGCACTGGCCAGCATGTCTGCTGACTGACAGAAGGTAGGGGGATGTCATGTTCAATCAACTTCTTCAGATTTCATACATTAGATACGTTATTTGTTATTTTTATTATGTTAGTACCTAAGGATCTCGGAAGAGGGTTAGGACCTTAATGTACAATCTAATAACACAGTCTCTGCCCCAGAAAGCACACAATCTTGGATTTAGACAGTAAGCAGAAACTACTGGAAGCAAGCACAGGAGGGACGACGAGGGAACAGTAGAGACAGGTATGAGTGCATGGATTAGAAATCACAATAGTTTTTGTAGACACAGAGGGTTACCAGCCTAGCCAATGCCAAACTCTCAGTGATGATCTCTCAGTCCTGCTAAATCTGCAAGAGCTTGGGAGCTCATTACTAGCAGCTAAGCCTTGAGGTCCTCTCGCTGAAGAAAGTCTCTATGACAGTAGCTAGTAGAAGAGTTTTCAGAAAAAGGTGCAAGAAATCCCCTAATAGTCAACCGTGGAATTATCTGTCCAAAGGGGAAATTCCTTGCTAATCCCCATAAATTAGTAGCTAGCTAACACCCTCCAGGGTTTGTGTCCCTTATACATTTTTATTCCATATGTATAATGTAGCAGGGGACGTTGTTGTTGTTTGTATAAATGTCCTATCCTGGTTTGAATGTTGCTTAACTGTTGGCCTTTATATCTTGTGACAGTGAGTCCCACAGGCTAATTCTGTATGTGTGTGTGTGTGTGTGTGTTTGGTTTTTTGTTTATCCATGCAAGTGCTTTTCGGGAACTAATCCTCACAATACCTCTACTAATCCCAAATTTACCAGTAGGCAATTAAAGCAAATAGATTAAATGATTTACTTGTATCAGTAGAGGAGTTGTAAGGACTGGGATTAGAACTCAGGAGACTCTGGCTCCCAGACATGGTCTCAGAGCGCTGCAGCATGTTCCTGTGTTACAGTGTGTTTCACAGAAAGCCTAAAGTCCCTTTTCTGTAGCTTTTTTGTTGATGTACTGGACATTTCTTTTTCATTAATTATTGATGTGAAGAGGTCTCTGTATAAAATGGATCTTGTTAAGAGTATTTCATTATGTAATCAAACAGATAGAGGAGGAAGCTATAGTATTGGTGTTCTTATAGCTGTGAAAGGCAAAGACAAGGAATAGGGACCGCTCTACACATGCCCATTGTAGATGAACTGCTTTGACAGAATACTAACATGTGGTCCATTGGATAGCATGCTGGACTGAGAGCCAAGAGACCAGAGTTCTGTTCCTGTCGCTGATACTGTGTGACCCATGAGCAGGTCACTTTACCTCCCTGTGCTTCAATTTCCCCTCCTATGCTTTGGCTGTCATTTCTATTTAGATTGTAAACCCTGTACAGAATGGGCTGTCTGTTAGCATGTGTGGGTACAGTGCTTAGCATGATGTGGGGCCCCAGTCTTGGTTGGGGGGCCTCTCGGGGTATGTCTACACTGCCATAAAACACCTGCGGCTGACCTGTGTCAGCTGACTCAGGCTCGCAGGGGATGGGCTTTGGGGCTACAAAACTGCAGGGTAGATGTTTGGGCCCTGAGAGGCAGGAGGGTTCCAGACACAGCCTGGACTCCAGCTCTAGCCTGAATGTCTACGCTGTAGTTTTATAGCCCCCCAGCCTCAGCCAACATGGGCCAGTTGCAGGTGTTTTACTGCAGTGTAGACACACCCTAGGCTGTGGTGTAATACAAGTAATGATACAGGGCTTGCAGTAGTGTGGTTACCCTGGTTTGAAACCAGGGTAAGTCACATTGAAGGGAAGCCGCATTTTATACTAGTGCAGCACATCTACAAAAGGGGTTTCTCTGTTGTATTTACATTACAAATATCCACAGTGTAGACAGGCCCTAGGTAAGATACCCACTGACATTTACAAATAGCATGAATGAATCCTACAGCACAGGGTGGTGGTCAGATCTTCAACTAGGAGCTGCGTATGTAATTAGGTGAATATCCAGAGGCTCCTGTGATACCAGGGAACTGGAAATGGTGGTCTGAGGTACTGCACTAGTGTCCAAAAATCTTCTTTGACTGAGCGGCCTGTGAAAGTTTTATGGTCTGTCTCATCAACTGTGAGGGATAAGAACGGATACAGTATCCTTGGCAAAGCTTGAATCGTTGCTTTCCAATGGCATACTACAGATCAGTGAATCTAAATGTCCTGTCATTCTGGTAGCGTCCGAAGCCATGTCAGAATTGAAATGAAGGAGGAAAGGAAATAGCAGTCTCTCTAGAAGGGCTAGTATAAAGTAAAAATCTCTGACTCTAGCAGTTCGAGATACTGGGTATTGAAGTTTTGTCAGAAGTGCAGAGGAAGGGAGAGAAAAATAAAGAAAGTAATATGGCAATGAGAACGGTGCATCTTAAAAATCCAATAACTGAACGTTCTAGGGCTGGAAACACTGCTAGACCAGAACAGAATGTTTTCAGGACCAGTAAACTGTATTCCAAAGACTGGTTCCAGCCCAGTGATCAAGAAGAAAAATCCTCAGTCCCTGTCTGATCCAGCTCAGCTTTTCAGTGTAGTTCAGAGTGACGTACCACTATGGCAGGCATTTAGCATAAGCTGTTCGCTTTACTGCTCCCAGATGTGTAATTGTAGGCAAGTGTGTTAGGGATTCATAACAGTACAGCAGTGCACTTCGATGCCTTGCTTTAGCAGTCATCTGCTTCCTAGGCTGAGCCTGTACTTACATCAATTATGCACCAGTCAGCAATAAGAAATCAGTCTACTTGGGCTGATTTAAAGCTGCACAGCCTCCCTAAGAAACTGACACAGGTAGAGCCAGCACTACACAGAATTCTTGCTGCATTCAGTCAGAGAGCACTACATTGATTTCTCATGCAGACAGAGCTCATCAGCTTCTTAGGAGATATGGAGAAAGAGAAAAACAGAATACTGCTTCCTGTCAGTGGAAGAATGGGGGAGTAATTTTTTTCTTTTGCACACATTAAACAAGTCATGAAATAAAAGTCCGGTTAATGTAACTGTACCGTAAATATATTGACTGTGGTCAAGGAGTGTTCAACCACAGTGCAGGAGGAAGAG